CCTCACCCTCCGCCCTCCCGGCCACACCCTCCGCCCTCTGGCCCCACGCCCTGCCCTCCGGCCCAACGGCGGCGCACGCGGTGAGCCGAACCCGCGGAGAGGAAGGCGCAGGGGCCTCGTCGCTCACTTTTACTTTATTAAACCAGCGGAGTCCCCACGTGAAAATAAAACGCCTGAGTCCCGGGACGGCGCCCGGCTCCGGTCCTGGTGCACGCGCTCAGGAGCTGTGCTTCTGCCTCTTCCAGAAGCGCTTGACGTCGCCGTGCCCGGCGGGCGTCACCACCATGAGCCGCTTGGCCGAGTTCTCGAACACCAGCACGCCCAGCTCCCGCGCGTGGGCCAGCAGCAGCTCAAAGTCCACTTGCGACAGGAACTGGTTATACAGGACGCCTGGGGCCGAGGGGGCGGCGGGGGAGAGGAGGGGAGACGTGACCTTTCCGTCTCTTCTGTGGCTCTCCCAACCGTGTTCAGGGCGGCCGTGTAGCACGATGAGAAATCCCACCAAAACCGGAGAGGTACTGGGGATCAGTCCTCCCCACTTCTCTCTTCTAACTAAATCCAAATTGCAGATTTGAGACTCACCCCAAAATGAAAAGTGTCTTGTCAGCAAGACAAAAAAATAAAATGCACCAATAGCTTTTTCAGCTCATCAAGACTGAATTGTCCTTCCTCTGGCCAATGACCAAGAATCAACCACCAGAAGCCACTCACCCTCGGTGAAGCGAAGCCTGTCCCTTTCCAGCTCCCACAGCCGAATCTGGTCCGTGATGGTGGGCGGCAGCACCGGTGTCTGCAGGGCCGGGGAGGCTGTGAGATTCGGGAATACTGCCCCGAGCACCAGCCCTCCACTCATTCCCCAGATTTTCCATCACTTTGTCACCAGGTGCCAGGGGCTGTCAGCCTCCAGCAGCTTGGTACCTGTTTGTACCTGTTTAAGCATCACTGGGTGGGCCCTTGTCCTTAGGAAATGGATGATCTGAAAAAACAGAGAAGAATGGGATCAAGGGCTCAAATAAGAGGGCAGGAAACCTACCGAGGCTGTCACCTAATGTCCATGGAACACCACCTTCTGCTTAAAAACTCATAGCCACATGCCTGTCATCAGCCCATTCCCTGTTGTCCCAAGTTGTTCCCACTGATCACGCCTGCCCTTCCTTCTCTGACACATCTGCGCTTTGCACAGTCTTGTTTTGTTTTCCTTTAAAATAGCAGCACTTACTGCATGGCAGGCTCTGAGCTCAATGTTTTACTGCTGCTCTCACAGAATCCTCCCCACAACTTGGTGAGGTGAAAATTCATGGCTTCCATTTTCCAAATAAGGAAACTGAGGCTCAGAAACGAAGCAACTAGCCTGTTTATGCAGCTAGGAAGTGGTGCCAAGACACAAATCCAGAGCTATGCCTGTCCCTCTAGGTCTTTCCCACACCTAGAGCCTCGACTGCTCCTCGTGTGCCTGCTCTATGCTCAGACAACTCACACCACCCATGGCACGTAGTAAGCCTAGTGCTAGCCCTCTGTAAGGGGACTGCCCTGTACCTCACAGCCCAAGTGCAGCCTTTCTTCCCACCACGCCTCCCAAACAGGGCTACCTGCTGGGCTGTAATGCCGCTGGCGATGGCCTGCTGCACACTCTCCCGTGTGACCTGCGCCACCACCATGTTGGGGAAGCGATAGAGCATCTCAGAGAAGAGGGCAATAAGGGCGATCTGCAGCTCCGACTCTGACCAGGGAAGGGAAAAGAGGGTGAGGAGGCGGCCCCACACCCATACTCCCTCAGCCCTGCCCTCATGTGTGATGGGAAATGTCAGAAAACACTGCACACTGTCAGGCAAACAGAAAAGAAAACTGGCATATCTTCCAGCCTCTTTCCCCTCCCCACTTCCATCCCAACCGGCTCTCCCAGGGGCCCTCTGTCGCCTCACCCGTGTAGGCGTACAGTCGGTAATTGGTCTCCACGACAATGAAGCCTGGCTGATGTGCAGTGCCCCCAGCCCCAGAAACACCTGATGAGAGATTGATGGCCAGGCGTGTAGGGTAGTAACGCCGAGACTTCCTCTGGAAAGGACAGAAGACAAAGGCAAAGGGCCCTCTCTCAGGTGTCATTGACCTGCACCTTCCTTCCTGAGACACCAGATCCCTCCCAGTGCAGGTAGTGCCAACGCCCAACTTCTCTTCCCAGGCGACCCAAGTATTCAGTCCTGGCAACTGCTTCCTGCTGCCTCCCAAATCCCTACTCCTTTCTAAAGGCCAAGGCAACATACCACCCGCCCCTTCCCAAGGAGCTGTGCATTTGAGTGCTCATACCTTCCTCTGGAAAACAAGCCCAAACTCACGCAGATGCTGCAGGAAGTTCAACAGAGAGTCACTCATACCTTCCACAGAGTAATCCTGGGGAAGAGAGGCAGGCAGCTGGGGTCTGAAATAGCCCATTCCCCCTCCCAACCCCGCCCACTCACTCTCTTCTCCCATCTCTGGCCGTACTCTGTTTACTCTCATCTTCCTCTCTATTGCCTTATAGCCTCACTTCCCCTTCCCATCTCACCCACTTCAGCTCGCCCACCCAAGCCCCCAGCTCCAGCCCCTGCTTACCTTGCCCAGAGTAGAGAAGCTGAGCTGGAAGAGGAAGGAGAGGATCTCCACTAGGTCCATGCCCCGACTCTAAGGAGGGATGGGCAGAGCAAAGGGAGGGGTGGGAGGGAAAAAATGAGAGAAGAGACCATCAGGGAGCAGAGTGTAGGCAGCAGTCTCCAAGTGGGCCCTGAGAAGAGCTGAGGGTGCGGACAAGCAGCCCCTGGCCCCTGGCCCCCTCACCTGGGCTGTCTGCAGGTACTGCAGCATAAAGTACCAGAGCTGGGCAGGGGTATCCAGCAACAGGAACTGGAAGCCAGCAGAGGTGATGCAGGGTGGCTCTCCAGGCTCAGCACTGGAGATGGAGAGAGGGTCAACGGGAGAAACGTGCAGAGAAAGGCCACAATCCCCACTGGTCTTCTCACATCTTCTGTTTTATCTCTGGCTGTACTCCACTCAACTCTCCCTTTTCAGTCAACCCCCTACACTTCTCAACCTCCCACTCAGTTTAGCAGGGACCCAAGGATATGGCGAAGCGGGGTGCTTTGTGCCTCTGGCTTCCTCACCTCTTCATGAGCCCAGCCTGGCTGAGGAGCTGAGCCAAATCCTGGCTGACGGCTGCACTGGGGGAGCCCACCATGAAGTGCAGGACCACCTGAGGAGTGGGAGAGAACAGAGAGATGCCTCTAGGGTCCATGGGAAGTAGGATCACAAGCGAAGACATACACAGAGTCTAAAGTCCTTACCTCCCATCGTTCCTCGGCATACTTATCAAGTGAGGGGACATCCCGGGCATGCTTGTCTGGTCCCAGCTGACTTGTGTCATCAGACCAGGCCTTGCCCCTGTTCCAGGATGGGCCAAAAGTAAGGAGCCCTGCCTGTGTTCTCTGTCCTCCCTCTGCCCTGTTTCTGCCCTTGTCCCCGTGGGCCACAAGTGGGAGGCCTTTCCTGCACTGTGCAGCATTTTATTCCTCAAGGAACTCCCAAAGGTGGAGCCACAAGGTTCCAGAGAGGCCCCTCAGGAGCTCTGCCTCCAAAAGTTCAGTTCCCCGGTCTAACTTAGGAAGAGATGGAAGGGACATACCCACCCAGAAGGGCAATACGGAGGTTCTGGCGGAAGATGGGGTTGAGGATGAGGCCCTGGAGACCACCAGGGAGCAGCTGCGTGTGCCAGATCCGGAGGCCACTCAACAGCCCTGTACTTTCCTCCTGAGCTCTGAAACAGAAGCAGAGAGGTGAGGGAGTGTCTGGAGGCCCATAAAGGCCTCCATTTCTGCCTTTTCTGAACTGGTGATCCTTGGATCACTGTTTCAGAGTGAAAACAGTATCTTAAGGCAAATTTCTTTACTACAGCGCTTACCAGAGCCTTATTATAGACATCACAACTCTCTAAGAGGGAAAATCCAGCATGGAGTTTCCCAAACTTATTTAATTACAAGTTTTGTAATTAAATACCCATTAATATTTCCTGTACCCATTAATATTTCCTGAAAATGTTCCAAGGTTCCCAAACAGCAGTTTGGGAAATCTAGCTGTTGAGAAATTTGCATCCGGCTAAGAATGCAGCAGACTCACTTGCTGAATTCCTTCTTCACCCACAGGGCCACAGCAGCTTGTGGCAAAGGCTGCTCCAGAAAGAGCATCCGCATCACCCAGTTCTTAGCCAAAGATGGGAGCTCCCTGCAGGGGGCAGAGGTAAAATGTTAATATCTGCAAGTGCCTTTTATCTGCATCTCTGCCCTCGATCTGCATCTCTTCCTTCAATCTGCATCTCAGCCTCTTAAACATGTCGTCTTAACCCCCACCTTTATCAGTTTTGCTGTCCCCACAAACACAATCTGTTTTAGCCTGACACACTTTAATCTCTAAGCCCCTTAGGACTAAGCTTCTACCCATGATAACTTACCCCAGTCTGCAGGCCCCATTACATTGCCCCACCATGGTCCCTGTCATGAAGGGCACCCTCACCTGAAGACAGCTAGACAGGTGGCAGGGTGCCCATATAGTCGGTCCAATACCCCAGGGCTCAGGCTCCCAAGGAACTCCTGTAGATTCCTGCATTGTAGGTGTGCTCGGTTCAGTCCACCCCTCAAGGGGGTGCTCTCCATCACCTGAGAGATGCAAGTGTTACAAATGCACGCCACAATGCATGCCAGTGTCACCCCTCACCTTTCCCATTCCAGTCCCGATCCACTGGCCCCCACCTTGACCCATCTTTTCTCTGGTTTCCCTTTCCATGTCATTCATCTCGTTTCCCCCAAACCTGACTGACTTCCTCCTTTCCTGCCCCCTCTCCCCACTTCTGGCATCAATTCCAGTCTTGTCTCAATTTCCAAGTAACACAACTGTTAATTGTCCCGTATTTGCAAAATCATTTTGTATTTCAATGATTTGTTTCATCTTTATAAGCAGCGGCCTCTCCTGGTCAGAGGAGCCCATAAGCTCCACATGTCAGACCTTCCCGTCTATCTCTTGGCCCCACTTACCTTGCTGGGCACAGCAATAAACTACCTCTCCCCTCCATGCCTCCCAAATCTCATTCTACCTCTTCCCTCTCCCTCCCCCCGAGACTACTTCACCCCCTTCAACCTGACCCACACCGTCCGCCCTAACCTCCCCCTCCTTCTCTCCCACTCCTCCCTCTCACTCAGCTCCCACACTCCGCCGCCCCCTCTCCCGGCCCCCATACCACTCGGAGTCGATCCTCCCTCGTGTACCCCGAGTCCCAAGCTGTCGCTTAATCGGAGCCAACGTCTCGCATTGGCTCCCGGGAATGGGGGAAAGGATGGTTAAAAATGAGAGAAAAAGGTAGGGAGAGCGACGAAGGATTTCACAGACTGGAGTCCCGAGCAGAGGATTCAGAGAGAAGGAAAAGAAAGGAAGAGTGGGAAAGCGGAGAGGATGAGACCCGGAGCTGCACTCGCCCGCCGCGGGGCACACTGGGACTTGGAGTTTCGTCCTCGCCCACCCGCCTACCAGGCTGAAGCGCGTCTGACTACAACTCCCAAAAGGCCCCGCGGGCAGCCGGGAGGAAGGAGGCTGGCCCTGGCGTGTCAGGGCCCCGGCCGCCGCCGGCGGGCCGCCTGGTTCCGCTGAGTTCTCCGGCCGCGGGGCCCGCGGCTGGTCTCACCCCCCGCCCGGGAGGCGGGGCGCGGAATTAGAAGATCCCGGAGGACTTCCCGACGGAGTTGCGCAGGCTGCTCGGCGGTGGGCCTGCGGCGTGGAGACGCCCGGCACTGGGTTCCGAGAGCTCGGATGCGCCTGTGAGATCGGAACAGCGCGCTCCCGGTCTGTCACATCCATGCTTCGCTCTCTCCTCTCCACTGTCTAAAAAAATGGATGGAAAAAATGTCCCCAGGTGAGGATTAAAAAAAGAGAGATAAAATCGTTGGTATATAATGCCAAAGTGCCCTTTGAAAAGCATGCCCGCCAACCTTCAAAATGTGTTGTTGGCCACATGAGTAGGTCGCCGCCCACCGCGCCCCTCCAGGGCCGGACCGGCCTGCGATGAAGCCAGTCGGGGGATGGAACCCGGGACCCTCCAGTCCTCAGGCCGACCTCTGACCACCGAGCCCAAGGGCGAGGGCTACACCAACGATTTTAATGTGACTGCCGTTCGACCTAGCAGCTCCCCCTTTAGGAGCATTTCATACTAAAATTCTCCCGCCTGGGTACATGCCAGCGATGTTCAATGAAGTGTTTGCTGTATTATGAAAACAATGGGACCAGCCCAAGTGCCCGTCATTGGGAATTGGTTAGATAAGACGTGGGTCACTGCAATGTGAAAAATACTGGGCGGCACTTAGAGCAGAGGTCACTGTGTGCCCGGGAGCCCGGTAAACCCGCCGTGAGGGAGGAAAAGAGGACCACAGCGGCATACCTAGCCCAGCGCCGTCTTTGTAAAATGCTTTCACTTGTGTGTAAAACTCAAATAGGATGTTGGCTTCATTTTGATGGGAGCAAACAAGGAAGAGCTGGGCAGATGAGGCCGCACGGAAGTAAAGCTCTGAGGCTACAGAGTCGCCAGCCACCTGTAGCTATTTCTATTCCAATTGAGACAACACTTAAAATTCAGACTGGGGCCATTTGAAGTGTTCAGTAGTAGCTGCCTATTGGACGGTTCAGGTGTAGCCCATCTCCTCCTCGCAGAGTTCTCTTGGAGATGCCTGCTGGAAGGGATGCAATGGATGAGCCCCGGTGTTTGTGGCAGGAACTGAGCAGGCTTTGTTCCTGGAACCCCCCAGGAAGAAAATCAGCCTGGCTCCTAGGACCTGATTTGTAGAAAGCTCCCTGACTCTGCGCTTTCCCTATCCTGTGCTCGGAACTCCTGTGATGTAGAGTTCGCAGCCTCCCCTCAGACGGCGTTCTGGAGAAAGAGCAGAGATCCTGGAGCCCACAGGCTGCTTAGCAGCACCGCCCTCCACAGCTGTGCTTCACCTGGCTTCACCTGGCAGTTTTCTTCTCTGTGAAATGTCAATAGTTTTAGCTATTTCATATGTTGGGAGTATTAAATAAGATGTAATATATAAGAAGTGTGGTACCTGGCACACAGTAGGTAAATATTTTCTTTAAATTAAAAAAAGCCACACATGTAAAAGTGCACCTGTAGTAAGTGCTGCAAAGAAGAGAGTCCTGTTGCTCTGAGCATCAAGAGGGAATTTGACCTGGTCGGGCAAGTCAGGGGCCAATGCTAAGGGACAAGCAGGTGTTACCAAGGCAGACAGCAGGGAACTGTGTTCCAGATAGGGGAACAGCATACTACAAAGGCCATGTGGCAGGAGGGACTAAGGCCTGCCCATGGGTGGAACTGAAAGGCCAGTGGTACCTGAAGGAGAGGATGGGGAAGGATCCAACCCGGAGGTGGGGGGCCAGAGTTGGCCAAGATTTTGTTCTTATTCTAAAGTCAATGGGAAGCCATTACTGGGTTTCAAACAAAGGAACAGATTTATATGTTTTCAAGACCAGTCCAGCTGCAAGTCTGAAAACGAGAGAGGAGCAGGGACAGATCCTGAGAGACACTGTCATAGTCCAGGCAAGAGGGAGGCAGTGTGTGCCATGGGGCGACAGAGAGAAATGATGAATTTAAGGAAAATTTGGGAAGCAATATCAACAGAGCTTCATGATTGACTGGATTTGGGAGGGAGAGTAGGTGACCCCCAGGTTTCTGGCTTGTGCAGCTGAGTGGATGCTGCTGCCATTCAGTCAGGAAACAATGGGGAAGGAGCAGGTTTGAACACGCTGAGACTGAAATGCACATGAACCTGTGGTTACCGTCTGGAGCAGTGATTTTCAACAGGGTGCCACAAGAATTTTTAAAACATGCATACCTGACTAGTCAGGGACGCTGATCTCTTTTCCCTTAGATCGTCAAATAAAAACGTGACAACAGCCAACACAACCACAGCCATCCAGTGTGAATGAATCAAATTTATACCTCCTTTTTGAGAATTTTAGTAATTAGTTTATGTGCCATGAGATGAAAAAGTTGGAAATCACTGGTCTAGAGCATCTGAGTTCTGAGCTCATAGACTGGGAGGTCTCCGCTCACTGCATGCCATCTGCCCCTTGCCATTCTGGGTTCTGGCTTCTCAGCCCTTGACCTGCCATTACCCACTTTAAATTGTGGCTCACAGTGCTCTGACCTGCAGGTTTCAGCAGGACTCCTAGATCTGTGTCCTGGACCCCAAGGGCCAATGAATTCACCTAAAATTAGATTCTCTCTACTGTTATCCTCTTTATCTAGTTGGCTCATTTTGTGAATATCAACCGAGACCCCTGGGTCTTCATTTCACAAGAACGACCATCAAGGTGGACCTGCCTTTTCTAATACTTGCAACTGATTTTTTTTCCTTTCCAACTAGATTTGAACTCTTTGTTAAAGAGTTCTCCTGGTGGTTCATCCTTCCAAGGCTGAAATAATTTAGGCTCTTGTTTCTGGCTCTCGGTGAGACACCCGATGGGTGATCTGCATGCTTATCAGCCTAATCCAAGTATCCTCCACCTGGGACTTCCAGACCCTTTGGTGGGGGCAGGGGGGAGGCCCTAGAATATGGGCAAGGAAAAAAGGACACTTCTATTTTTATTAACCTATAACTGAAATTTAGCATTTCCTCCAAGTATGAGTATGAGCAAAACCCCCAGGAGCACTAGCAGTTCGTGCTACTGTCACAAAGAGACACCACGGCTACTTTCATATCCCTCTAGTCACAGAAATCTCACGTACGTTTATTGTTATACTTTTTGAAAATATCAGTACCTACTACACTGCTCCTAGGTGTTATTAAATATATTTAAAAGGACCTTAATATAGCATAATTTTTAACATTTTGATAAACCATAATCACATAAATATATATACACGCACATATGTATGTGTATATATCTCTTTAAATGGGTTTTAAAACATAATTCTGAGGAGAAATCAGTAGACCTCTCCGACTGCCAGAAGAGTCCATGGGTCAAACAAGCTTAAGACCCAGGCCTCCTGCAGAGCTCTTGTTGGAGCTGACGAGGTTCATAAATTCATGTGGGACCTGAGGTCCCCCTCCAGCAAGGGCCTGGCTTATGGACACACAGCACACTGTGCTGGGCAAAGTACGCAGTAGGGAGTGGAAGAGGGAAACAGGGAAGGGGAAGAGAAAGAAGGAAGGGGGGAGCAGGAGGCAGATTTTACTAAAACCCCAAGAAACCTACTCATAGCTGTGGAAAACTCAACCTTTATTATTACCTGCCTAATGCAGGGGATTAAAATTACATTGAGCTCGATCCATATATTAGTGTAAAATCTGTGTCTCTTCTGCCAAAAATGTACAAACCCCAAGTGATTATAGAAAAACCAATGTGGCAGCTACGGTAGAGATGCCCAAACCCAGGCCACGGGCATTTTTTCCTTTCCCCTAATCCCAATCTTTATTCCACAGAAACATCAGGCTTAGAGAAGTTCTAGCTCCAACACGGCAGGGGAAGGTGGGCGTGATAGGGGTCGGGGCGGGGTCACCCCCAGGTCCAGTGTTTCAGAGGACAGGGTTGGGGGAGAAAAGCCAAGCTGAGGACAATTCCAGAAGGAGGACAATTCCTTTTCCATCCTCACTTCCCAAATTCTCAGCCAGTGGGGTCCAGTGTGTGACGGAAAGAGAGAGGCTGGGTGGCCACAACCTTCCCTCTGAGAACCAGTGTTGTCCAGGAGGCCCAGGTGCTCCAGGGGGCCAAGTCCAGTGTCTGCCCTGTTTGTCCCATGCTCCCCCAAGGTATGGCCAGAAGAGGTCCGAGAGGATCCCATCCACAGGGCCAGCTGGGTGGGTGGCAGGGGCTTCTAGGAGAGGAGCAGGGAGCGCGTCAGCGCCCTGGCAGGCTCGGCCCACCTGGGGTCACACTGCCTCTTTGAGGTGAAGGGCAGAGGGAGTGGAGGTGCCATTAGCTCCTCTGGTTTGGTGCCGCTGGCTTCCCCCTAGCCTCCCCGAGGGAGGGCCGGCTGGGTGTCGTGATTCACACTGTGTTAAGTGCATCTTCTGCCAGGAACCGATGCAGCTGGGAGAAAGGTGGTCGCTGCTCCGGCTCCCGACTCCAGCACCGAAGCATCAGCTCATACAGGCCCAGGGGGCAGGCAGGGGGCCGGGACAGGTACACCTACATTGCGGCAGCAGTGAGGATGATCAACTCCCAAGGTGACAGGCTCTGCCCTCCCAGCCCCGCCCTGTCCTCCCCTCCGCCTGCTCTAACCTGCCGGCCCTGGTCCCGGAAGAACTCCCCTGCGTTCTCAATGACTTGTTCATCCGTCAGCTGCCCGAAGGGCTGGGCCCGGCAGAGCATCAGCACCTCCCACAGGGTCACCCCAAAGGCCCACACGTCACTCGCCGTAGTGAACTTCCCCTGGTGCGTGGACAAGGCAAAAGGGAGAGAAAGGCATCAGGCAGCACAGGGCTCCTCCATTCCCCACAGGGGCCTCTCCCAGAAGCCTGCCCCCTCCGTGGGCTCTGCCTTGCTTCTCGGGCTCTTGTCCTCTCCCTCCGCTCTTCCATTTTCTACCCTCCTGCCCCCCCACTCTGGTCCCTACTAGCTCCCAACTCATCCCCTCTGTCTCTAGCCCCCCCTGTCACTTGGTCTCTCTTGCTCTTTGCCACCCTGACTCCATCTCTCAGACCCACTCTTGTCTCCTGGGGCCTTCCCCATCACACCATACCTCCCTGCTTTCTCCAGTCCCTGAGCCACAGGGAACCTTATAGGGCACTGGTTCAAATCCTCACTTCATAGATGAGGAAACTAAATGAGACACAGAGCTTCAAGTGGCAGCCAGAGTTCCCTGCCCTGCCCGCCTCTCTTGGCGTCTCACCATGAGGATGCACTCCCACGCCATCCAGCGGATGGGCAGCACCGCCCGGCCCTGCACGCGGTAATAGTCCCCAGCGTAGAGGTTCCGGCTCATGCCGAAGTCGGCAATTTTGATGGTGAAATTTTCCCCGACCAGGCAGTTCCTTGTGGCCAGGTCCCGATGCACAAAGTTGAGCGTGGCCAAATAGCGCATGCCCGAGGCAATCTGGGTCGCCACATGCAACAGCATCGAGTAGCTGAGTAAGGGAGTCACGAACAGAGGGTCACTGGGCAGCCCCAGCTCATTCCCCCTCACGGGTTCCCAGGAGAGAAAGGGCAGCCACTGTGACAACATGGAAGTACAGGGTGGGGTGGGTGGGGTGGGGTGGGTGTGGGTA